TAGAGATCTTTCACCTCCTTGCCTAAATTTACTCTTAAATATTTTATTATTTTCAATGCTATTGATATTGTTTAATGTCTTTTTCAGATAATTTGTCATTAGTATACAAAAACCCTGATTTTGTTGTTCATTTTGTATCCTGCAGCTTAACTGAATTTGTTGATCCCATTGAGTTTTTGATGACATTTCTTTGTATGATTTAAACATTTTTTAAATGTTTTATTTATTCTTGAGAGACAGCATGAGTGAGGAAGGGGCAGAGAGAGAGAGAGGGACACAGAATCCGAAGCAGACTCCAGGCTCTGAGCTGTCAGTACAGAGCCCGACATGGGGCTCCAACTCACAAACTGTGAGATCATGACCTGAGCCGAAGTTGGATGCTCAACTGACTGAGCCACCCGGGAGCCCCTGTGTGATTTTTATAGTTGCTGCTCTGGGGATTGCAATTAACATACTTAACTTTCCAGTCTACTTAAAAATGTTGTAGCGCTTATGGTAGAATGTCAAAAACTTTCCACTACACAGGGCCCTTTATGTTAGTGTTGTCTTATGTATCACACCGGCATACATTGAAAATCCCATCAGACCATGTTATAATTGTTGCTTTCAACTGGTTAACATTTTTTTTAAAGAACTTAGGAAAAAATGTCTTAAAGAGCAGACAGTTATTACCATTTCTGTAGCTCTCTCTCTCATTCTTGAAATTCCAAGTTTCTCTTTAGTACCATCTTCCTTTCCTCTAAAGAACTTTCTGTAGCATTTTCTTTTCATGTTTATTCATTTTTTCATAGAGAGAGAGAGATAGTGTGAGCAGGAAAGGGACAGGCAGAGTGGGAGACACAGAATCTGAAGCAGGCTCCAGGCTCTGAGCTGTCAGCACAGAGCCCCATGTGGGGCTCAAACCCAGGAACTTGGAGATCATGACTCGAGCCAAAGTCAGATGCTCAACCGACTGAGCCACCCAGGTGCCCCTCTTTAGCATTTCTTTTAAAGTAGGTCTGCTGGTAATGACTTGTCTTCATTTTGGATCATCTGAAAATGTCTTTATTTTACCTTCATTTCTGAAGGGTATTTTCACTGGATATAGTCTGGGTTGACAGTTCTTTTCTTTAAGCACCTTAAAAATGCTTTTCTACTACCTGCTGGTTTCTGTGGTTTATGATTAGGAACCCACAGTTACTTGAATGTTCCTCTATGTTTAAAGCATTATTTTTCTCTGCCTGAATTTCTGTTTTTCCACAGGTACAGACCATCTCCTTCCTCTTCCGATCCAACCTAAGTCTGGAGGGCAACTCCATTCTTAACTTCTCAGGTAGGGATGCCCTTGTGGGTGCCATCAGGAAAAGTCTTTCCTTCTCAAATTTAGCTTAAAGATTAAGACACTTAAAATGTCCATTACCTTGTCTGGTTCCTCTTCTGTGGTCACACCTTAGACTACAAGATCAGCTCAAAGGATGTCATTTATCTGCATTCAGGCCACAAGCTTTGACATGAAACGTGTTTATTTAAGCCAAATAAGGAAATGCTCTGTTCTCCTTCTTTTTTAACTGGAGCTTCTACAATACTTCATCGCTGGCCTGGCTTTCACAACTTTCCACGGTGTCATGTGGCAAATATTGCCACTGAGGTGATACTGTTTACCTGAGTGACCGTAACTAAGAATATGTAAGCAGTAGAATAACCCATTTTAATCTTCTTCAACAGACTCTCTTGGACTTAGAAATGCTTTCTCTTTGTGTCTTTGAACCTATGTCCACCATTGTCCAAGACAGTGAGTTATGTGACAATATGGCAAGCATTACCACAGTCCAGTCTCTCAGTCCTCAGGTATTTCCATTGGCGTGACAGCTGTGGATGACAGCGGGTTCTCTTCCCCACCCCTTTCTCCATTACCTTAAGGAACAGATAACCTTTAGCTGGTAGGCACAGCGGTTGTGAAACTGTTGAAGTAGTTCTGTGTCAGCTGGTTAAAAGCTGCTTCTCTGAGTTCCTGAGTGTCTCCTTTGCTACCCTGAGACCTCCTGGCTCTCTCTCTCAGTTCCATCAGTTAGAAGATTAAAGTTTGTGGGAGCGGAGCCTTCAGGACCTGATCCAGCATTAACTGGTGTGTGTTCTGATGGCTATCCTGGTTCTTAACTACATTGAATCTTAGCGCCATTTAAGTGAAATCTTTGTGCTATGTCCACCATAGTAGGTACTGGGAAGTTTGTTTTGGTTACATTAACTGCTGGCCATGTAGCTCTATACCAAGATTGAGTGTGAGACAGAGTTATCTACTGATCACTCTATTTTCTTTAGAAAACTAAAGAATTTAGGGAAAACCTGAGGGGAGTTTCTGAGGGCCATCAACTGCCAGCAGTATTGGAGATGCCCATTCCCTTGGTTCTGTGTAAGTTTCACTCAACATCGACAACCCTTCCCTGGTTCCCTAAGTCCTTCATTTGCTGTCTACCTCCGTTAATTCAACTCATGTCTATCCTCTGTCGGTCAGATTAAACATGCATCAATAGGGCTAATAGATGGGCATGTCTCCTGTGTTACCAAAGGCTCCTAAATTTCATTCCTACTTTGGCACTGTTTCTTGTGATAAGATTGCTTTTGACATACGCATTTTTAAAAGGTGTGTATGTTTATACACGAACACATTCTTTGAATTTATATCAAGGCTTATCCAGCGATTCCAAAAGATTTCTTATAAGGGCTATGCTCCTTCAAAGTAAGAAGTTCTTAGGGAAAAAAGTACATCTGGGTTTCTTTTTAAGTTTAAAAACGTAACTGATATAGCTGCTGAGTGGGGAAGCACAGTAACATTTCAAGTACATGGACCTTCCTTATAGAAAACACAATTGAGGACTAGAAAAATAAACAGTATTTCTCTAGCCACAGTAATTACAGTTCTTCTCAATGGGACACATCTTGATCAGAGTACATCTCAATTCAAACACTAACGTTTCATCAAGAAACTGTATCAACATTTAAATTTCATAATACTTATGGTTGAAAGAGTAGATTCTCTTGTTCAAGTTATTCCAAACATGCTTAAAAGTTTTTCAGTAAGTGAATCAAGCACCAAAAATATTTTTTCATGTAATACTCACATGTACGTTGATAAAACTGCTTCATCTTTCTTGGGAAGAACTGATTTGACTTTGAAGCAAAATGGATTTGTTTTCAAACTACCCAAGTTTATTGCCCAAGTTTAGTAAATTCAGTAACTCTTGGGGAAACTCATTAGTATTGACACTGAATTCAAAGAGGGTAATGCATAAATTGAAAAGCAGTGGCAAATTATAAACAGTAACAAAGCATTGTTCAAATTTGGTTTGTAATTTTTGCAGTTTATATACTCTTGCCAATTACAAATAATGTCTTCTGCATATTGATTCATGTTAGAAAATGTGTAAAATCATTATTGAATTGTATTAGAAAAATATTCAATTTCAATATAACATTCAACCTGTATGACTAAGTCACAAATACATGTTTCCTCTCCCTGGAGCTTTAAATGTAGCTTGTTCATATGCAGTATAATATCAGAGAAATGTTAGTCACGATGACAGATTCTGTCTATGATTCCTGAACGTTTGGCAAGCATTCTTTTTGTTTCAGGAAAAATTTGCACTTTTTTTTTTTTAAGTAGGCTTCACACTCAACGTGAGGCTTGAATCGTGTTCAAACGTGTCCCTATTTTCCTTAAGATCTTTTCCTTAAGCTAGAAAAATACGTTAAATATATTGTAACATAGTAACTAGTTCAATCGAATTTCCAAGTACAATGAACACAAGTATCGCTGTGAAACGAGCTCTCTACGTAACATATTCAACAAAACACATTACAACACCGTATCGGTGCATAGAAAAAATAATTCAAACCCAATCGATCCATCGACGCCAACTTCTGTAATCCTCAACTGCACCAAGGCCTCTTTAAAAGTGCTCATAGCCACGTGTGGCGGGTAGTTACTATATTGGACAACTCAGCCCTAGCAGCTCCAATCGATGTCTCAAAGGACATTAATGATCTCGCAAATGTTTAGTTGAAGTTTTAGGAATTCATAGGAAATTTTGGACGTTTCCTTCTTATCAAAGGGTCTATGTTTTGAGAGAAAAGAAAAAGCATTTCTCCAGCTCAGGCATCTGGTAGTAGTCAAGTTCCCAGGAAGGGCAATCCGATCTAAAGACAGCGGTTAAGATGCACGAAAAACAATGTTCCTTAAATCTGAAAGCCCCCTGGGATAGATATTCCTATTTGAGAGAAAGTTTATTAAAAGTCAGCTGCTGACTCTTTCAAAGATGACCTGGTATCAAAGTGACTATAACAAGTGAATTTTGCGCAAGACCCAGTACTGACACGAATGACTATCATTCTTGCACCGTTAAACTGAAGACCCAACATTTAAATAACATTCTCAAAGAAACTCCACCGACCTCCAAAAACACAGTTGAAAAACCAGACCAAGAGTTATAGTCGCCAACCATTTCGCATACCCCAGAATGAGAAGGGAGCTTCAATGTGACGGGGACACGATTCTCTACTCTGGGCCGCCGCGTGGTGAAGAGAAGAGAGCTTTGGCACCAGGCGCGCCAGAGTTCACTTCTCAACTCCAGCGTTTCCAACAGCCCGGCTGTGCAAGTCCCATGCCTCTCTGAGTTGGATTCCCTATCGCAAAAATGGTGTAATAGTACCGACCCCACAGCATCCCTGGGAAGATGGATTCGAATGGCATGGCTAAAAGTCCTAGGTTAGTTCCTGGCATGTACGCAGCCCACAGCCGTTGCCTTCACCCTTTCCAGGATCCTTTCAGAGACAATCTCTCTGAATGGATTCTAGCTGCCAAGCACGGCTTTTATTCATGCTCTGTGTTCTCAGGCAGCCTATGAAGCAAGTTCTAGACTGCTCCTACTCACTCATTCCCATTCCCTGTTGATTCCCAGCTAAACAACTCATCCAGCATACATTAACTTAGGCATAAAAATGTAGTACCAAACGTCCAGCCATACTTGTCTGATGGGTGAGATTCCACAAAATACCCAGCAAAGGGGCAATAAATTCGGGGTTGTAGGTCCTTCACCAGCCGGGCCTTGTAGTTCAAGAGCTTCTTCCTCTCTGCTTTAATGAATTGGGCTTTCCATTCCTCTGCAATGACAGGGCTTGGGTTAGAATCTCCCCAGTTCAGAAATCACAGAAAAACGGAAGTTCTGGTAAAGCAGAACTCTTTCTGGAGTTAAAATTGATAGACTAACACGGAACAGAACAAAGCTCTGTGTCATAAGTGAAAAGTGCTCTCTGCCCCCAAACGCTTTACTTTGAAAATTTCAACTTATGACTAGGAAAATGTTACCAAACCAGCCAAAGACACTGAACTCTCTCCTTGTCTATGGCAACTCACTGGGACCCTAGCTGAAGACAAAGGGCAGCATGCATGGCTGTCCTTTGTGTGCATGCACATTCTAAGGGTGCTGTAATTCCTGTATGTGTTAACCCTTTTCTAACATGGACATGACTTTATCATTTTGGTAGATTATAAAAGCAACGTGTGTCCCTCATACTCCGGCAGGTGCACAGCGGTTGACAGCATGAATGCTGGAGTCAGTTAAGACTGAGGATGAAAACACAGCTCCCCCAGGTGCATTAAGTCTATTCCCTCTTCTGTGAGTGGGTCGTCACCCCTACCCCACAGGTTGTTTTCTCTGTTCACTCGCTCACTCACCCATCCAATTTTTTTAATGAGAACCTACTGCGTGCCAGACAGTTCTAGGTGCTGAGAGTCCAGTGTTGAAAAGATAAAGCAGGCCCCTGCTCTCATGGAGTATTTATTCTAGTGAGAGAAGCAAATAATGAACAAGGACATAAATAAGGTCATTTCAAAGGGCGATGAGCTAGGAAGAAAGTAAACCAGGACAAGGGGCAGAGTGGCTGGGGTAGAGGGGCACTGTCAGACAGAGCCGTTGGCGAAGGTGACATTGGAGTCATAAAACCCAGACACAGACACAGAAGGCGCTGACCACGTGATCAGGGGCAAAAGAACTCCAGGGAGTCAAAAGGGCAAATACAAAGGCCCAGGGCAGGAACGCACTTGGTGTATTGAGACTGGGGAATGAATGATAGTTCGGTGTGGACTGATCTATAGCAAGCAACGGGAGACAGGCAGGAAAGGAAGCAGGGGAATCAGGCAGGGCCAGAGCATGCAGGGCACCGCATCAGGGAGTTGTTCCTATTGTTATCACTACTGAACTTGATAAACACAGATAAGGACACAGAGAAATGAGTTACCCATAACCCAGACGTACCAGCACTCGTATACTCCAGACCTTTTTAGAAATGGGTGCATGTATTCATTCACATACACATACACATACACATGTTCACACGGGAATGGGATCATTCTAGCTAACCTTTAATGGGCATATTTTGCCTCCCCAGTTAACTCCCTAAGACAGGCACCTTCCTCTCTCATGCGGTTTTGCACCCTGGTGGGCAATGAATACAGACCTATGGAAGAAAGGAAGGAACCGAACAGAAGCTTTCTTCAGACTGCAAGTAATATTTCTGCCGCATTGCTAGAGATCATGTACCAAACGTTAATTTACTAAGTAGACATATATTGCACACTTACAGTGTCAGCATTGAGGATACCACTTACACACTTTCTCCCATCCCAACCCAGTACCACCCCTAGACTCAGAGCAGAAGAGGCCTTGCCTTGGACCCTACGCTTTTCTCCCCCTAGGTTTGAGACAGAGTTGACATATAACATTGTAGAAGTTTAAGGTATGCAACGTGAGGATCTGATATGCGTCTGTATTGCAAAATGATGATCACAAGGAGGTTAGTTAACACCTCCATCACCTCACATAATTACCATTTTGTGTGTTCGGCGAAAACCTTTGGGACCTTTTCTCCCAGCAACTCTTCAGTGTATAAAACGACACTGTTGGGGCGCCTGGGTGGCGCAGTCGGTTAAGCGTCCGACTTCAGCCAGGTCACGATCTCGCGGTCCGTGAGTTCGAGCCCCGCGTCAGGCTCTGGGCTGATGGCTCAGAGCCTGGAGCCTGCTTCTGATTCTGTGTCTCCCTCTCTCTCTGTCCCTCCCCCGTTCATGCTCTGTCTCTCTCTGTCCCAAAAAAATAAACGTTGAAAAAAAAAAAATTTTAAAACGACACTGTTAACGATCATCACCACACCGCACGCTACATCCTCAGAATTCACTCCTCTTATAACTGGAAGGGTGGACCTTTAACCGACATCTCCCCATGGCCCCTACTCCCTAACCCCCGCAACGTCACCTGTAGTGACGGCACTCCTCCCGTGTATGAGCATTCCGTGGGGCCTAGGGGACACGCCTACGTCAAGTGGCACACACTCTGCTCTGAACTACCTTCCAAGAACATTGAAGTCTGGATTACCAATGTTGGACCTTTCCTGCTCTGCTCTATGGTCTACACCATGAATCAAAATGATCCAAATGATTTTTTTCTTGACTATTCCTCAGATGTACCCTAATAGCCTTAATGTTTCTTTCATGCTCCATCATCATATTTTGAGCTGGAAACATTAGTTTGTCTGTCTGTGCTTTGCAAGTCTGGTTTCCCAGTAAGACTGTAAACTTCTTGTGGGGAGTTTAACCATATCTTAATTATCTTTGTGTTTATTCTCACAGCATTTAACAAAGCTCTGATGCTTCTCTTTGGCATCGCTCTGATATAAAATATTACCGGTAAATTTTCCACCACTGAAAGTCATTGGAAAGCCTGATGCTCCTCCAGCAAAATCACTCATCATTAGAGCAACCTTCTCAGGCAACCTTCCCCCATTGGGTCTGGTGCAGTCCACTGTATTAAGTATCTTATGACCTGTGGGAAAATAAAGTGGGATGGGTTTTCAGGGTGAAATCTTGAACATCATACAGTTTGAATTCCCAAGCCAACAAAGTCTCCCATGTATGTCTGTTTAATGTGACACATTTGATCAGAGAAGAATTACTTCTATCCAAGGAAAAAGGTGAGGAAGATTTGAAAACCTAAAATCTTCAATAGCATTTTTGTTTTCAGGTTTCAAGCGAATAAATTCATCCTATTTGATTTTATTTGGTGGGTTCTGGATGTCCCATGAGGACAATTAGCTTGATTTCACTCCAGGATCACAGACAGATTACTTCCTCAGTCAATTATCTCTAGATGTTGAGCCCAAAGAATGCAGAGGAAGTGTGATGGGATCAACAGAAATCTCAACCTTCCACAAATTCCATTCAATGATTGTTAGGGCAGTAAAGCCATCTTCCCACATGAAAGGCAGAAGTGCATGATTAGATTACATGATAATATTTCAACAGATAATAAGACATTTATCAGAATGGCTAAAATAAAAAACACAAGAGGGGTGCCTGGCTGGCTCAGTTGGAGAAGCATGTGGCTCATGATCTTGGTGTTATGAGTTCGAGCCCCATGCCAAGTGTAGAGATTATAAACTTATAACATGTAAGTTTATATAAATGAATAAACTTAAACACACACACACACACACACACACACACACACACACACACACACAAAACCATAAGTGTTGGCGAGGATTTGGAGAAAGGGGAACCCTCCTGTGCTGTTGGTGGGAATGCAAAGTAGTGTAGCCATTGTGGAAAACAGTACAAGGGCTCCTTAAAAAGCTAAAAATAGAATTACTTTATTATCCAGTAACAGCACTACTGGATATGTACCCCCAAAATACAAAAAAAAACACTAATTCAAAGGGATACATGCACCCCTATGTTTATTGCAGCATTATCTACAATAGCCAAACTATGGAAGCAGCCCAAATGCCCATCGACTCATGAATGTGTAACATACAGTGGAATATTATTCAGCCATAAAAAAAGAATGAAATTTTGCCATTTGCAATGATGGATGGAGCTAGAGAGTATAATGCTAGGCAAAATCAGTCAATCAGAGAAAGACAAATACCATATGACTTAACTCATATGTGGAAATTAAGAAACAGAACAAATGAGCAAAGGAAAAGAGAGAGAGAGAGAAACCAAGAAACAGACTCTTAACTATAGAGAACAAACCTGGTTACCAGAGGGGAGATGGGTGGGAGGATGGGTGAAATGGGTGATGGGAATTAAGGAGCACACCTGTGTTGAGTATAGGGTGATGTATGGAAGTGCTGAATCACTAAATTCTGCGCCTGAAGCTAATATAACACTGTATGTTAACTGCACTGGAATTAAAATCTCAAAACGTAAGACATTCAATAAAGGCAGTTTGAAGAAATTACTATATGCAATATACAGAATATCTGTTGCCTTCTGAAAAAGCTTTGCACCTCTCACTACATAGACAACATTACTGGTAATATGTTCTTTGGAAAGATTATCTGAGTGATAGCACACTGTTCTAAGGCAAGGACAGAATACATTTTATTCCATGGGAAATGAAGATAGTAGAAGATGGTTATCACTCTTCCTTCCAGGAGCATTTTTCTCTTTCGTTATTGATGAGGGCAAGAAAGTACCTTTATACTCCACAATAATGCAAGTGTCCATCTCAGGATGAACGCCATCCATCAAGATCATGAATCGAAGATTTTTGTTTACCTGGAATTTAACAATAAAAGCAACAACTGTGTATGCCAGTTTGGCTTCTAATTCAGTATTCGAGAAAGCTGTCACCTCCTCTGGAAAGAAATCTCCTTCATCCGAAACTAGATTATTATCCTATACTATGGAGTTACACCATTGGTAAATGGGGGAAAAATGTCTTAGCTCAAATAAAGGCGGTATTTACAGAACGCTATGCACAGACAAAAATCGGCTATTGTTTCTTTAATCTTCAAGTGACCTCACCTAAAATTCAACCCAGAAAGCATAACCGGGAAGTATAGAAAAAACCGCAGATATCTGACCTGCTGCCATATTCCGAATGGCACTATATTGATATTGGTCAACTGGACACCGCTCTGATTCAGATTCCAAAATACAGGTCTTTCCGTGTTTCCAACATAAATGGGAATATCCGGTCTTCTCGCAGCCAGCTCCTTCAGTGTGGGGTAACTAGGATCAGAAGGATGGAAAGGTTGAAAGGTGACAAGATCACCTAGTACAAGAGACAGTTTGCTCCTTAAACCAACATGTTGATCAAGAAGAAATTGAGGGGTGCCTGGGTGGCTTGGTCAGTTAAGCTCCTGACTTCAGCTCAGCTCATGATCTCACGGTTCGTGAGTTCGAGCCTCACGTCAGGCTCTGTGCTGACACCTCAGAGCCTGGAGCCTGCTTCCGATTCTGTGTCTTCCTTGCTCTCTGCCCTTCCCCTGCTCATGCTCTGTCTCTGTCTCTCAAAAATAAATAAACATTTAAAAAAAATTTAAAGAAAAGAAATTGAAAACACAGACTCTCATCAGAGTCCAAAAGAAGGGCTTTTTTTCCCTCAAAGCTGAGTATAAAGGTGAGGGGCATTTCCTACAAGATTCCTTTTTCCTTGTCAGAACAGACCATACCCCGTGGCACGTATATCAACCAGGTGGGCAAATTCTATCTGCTACATGAATGCTGTGGGTAGTTCTAACTAAAGGTAGAAGGTGGAAAAAGTCATGCTGAAGAGGTTGCTGGTAGGGGAAGACCTCTGTGATTTTCTTTTTTTTTCTCATTCCACACGTGGCAGCTCCCAGTAAGAGAAAGGCCTGGTCCACAAGACAAGGAGACCCTGGGGCAGTTTTTCAACCTTCAAAGGTTGTTAGCCACACCTCAGTATATAGAATAAGTTCTTTGTCCCCACAGGGAGTCCGTTTCCAGTTGGACAAGAGAGTCAAATTTAGAGTAGAGGAAAACAACATTCAACATTGGTGGTAATCCCGACTCAGTTCACCATGAACCGTCCGAGTAGCTCTCGAACACCTACATAGATTAAGTCAAGTTTCATTTACTGAGCAATCGTTATATTAAAAAAATTATGTACGCTGTGGGGTGTGGCAGAAACATGAATAATAAACAAATAAGTGGCAAGGTATCTACATGTCAAACATGGTGTCAGGCACTTTCACATGGTAGTTTAATGCTTACCAAAAACCCTCTGAATTTTTCGTTTGCTTTTATAAGCGAGGAAACATATCCAGACATACTCAACTAAGAAACAGCAAACTGGTATTCAAATTCACATTTTCAGATTCTAGGCCTAGCTCTTCCTCTAATGGAAGGCAATCCGAGACTCTAATGAATGTACAGTCTGGTTTAAGAATCACCCTTGTACAGGGGCGCCTGGGTGGCTCAGTCGGTTAAGCGTCCGACTTTGGCTCAGGTCCTGATCTCACAGTTCCTGAGTTCGAGTCCTGTGTTGGGCTCCATGCTGACAGCTTGGAGCCTGGAGCCTGCTTCGGATTCTGTGTCTCCTTCTCTCTCTGCCCCTCTCCAACCTGTGCTCTCTCTCTCAAAAACAAATACAAAAAAATTTTTTTTTTTAAATTACCCTTGTACAGAGTACAATGTCAGGGGAAATAGGTTATTTTATCACAGGAAAAGCAGAAGCAAAATCTGCATAACTGTACTAATATTTAAGTTCCAGCACTGTGTTAAAAGATAGTCAAAAAAGCAGAATCTGGGGGTGGGGGAAATCAGAAAATGTTCTTCCTTAAAAACAAAGGATTTGAAAAGTGAAAGATTCTTTGTGCCTTCAATCTTTGGGTTCAGCACCCAAATCTTCTATTTTAAAGGACTTTGGGGGTTAGGACAAATTAGTCTAAAATGGATGTTTTATTGTTTTCTGATTTTTTTTTTTGATTGTTCACAATTCTTAGTGGCATCCGTTAATAATATGATCTATTACAATACTCCCTCCCTTTACACAATGAAATCACATTTCTTTGACTAAAGACTACTCTCTAAAGTGCACTGGCCTTTCCCCCTTGTTTTTGTTTTTAGCTCAAATAAAAATTATATTTACGGAACGGTATGTCCAGACAAAATAAGTCATTGTTTCTTTAATCTGGAAGTGGCTTCCTCACCTACAATTTACCCTGGAAAACATAACTGGAGAGTGTACAAAAAACCCACAGATATCTGACCTAGTGCCATATTCCTAATGACACTACATTGATAGATATCAGGAGACTTTATTCAGCAAGTAAAGGTGAGACAAAAAATGGGAGAAAACGGCCCCCATGTTTATGAGTTGACTAGGCGAGGGGCGCCCGGGTGGCTCAGTCGATTGAGCGACCGACTTCAGCTCAGGTCACGATCTCACGGTTTTTGAGTTCGAGCCCCGCATTGGACTCTGTGCTGAGGGCTCGGAGCCTGGAGCCTGCTTCGGATTCTGTGTCTCCCATGCTCTCTGCCCCTCCCCCGCTCATGCTCTATCTCTCTCTGTCTCAGAAATAAATAAACATTAAAAAAAATTATGAGTTGACTAGGCGAGAGTTAAAATGGAAGGGGTTATCAAGGAACCAGCCTCCATGGAGTGACCCCGACGAGCTTCAGTAACTCTTCGGTGATAACCTGCCTGCAGTAGACCTCATGGCCATGCGTGCTGTGACACTCTAGTTGAGAACTGGTGTCATAACGCCTGACAAGTTCACCTACACAAGCCCCTGAAATGAAAACTAAATTGCTTTTTAGGACTGTGGTTGGGGCACAGCTGGACGAAATGACATGAAAACTTCTCCCCTTCCCTCAAATTCCGTGTGCTCCCCTGAATAAACCACCAACCAGGTTTTAGGAAAGCCAAGTGCGCCTTGGAATGGGCACTGTGCAGCCATCACCTCATGTAGGTAACCCTGCTCTTTTTGTAGAGGCTACACAAAAGAACTCGCATGCAGCACGGCAGTTACACGGTGCATGAACCCAGGGCTCTCAGAAACTTGGAGGTGTGCGGCCGCAGCTTCCGCACATGGTGTGGGACAAAGGCGCCGTGCAGTGGACACGGAGATTTTTCATCACCGCACCCGCATACTGGGTTATCATCAGTTCGTAAGTGACTGGCAGGTAACTTGTTATTCAGCCAGTTAATTACATTTATAAAGCGTTTCCTGAAAAAATAAATAAATAACTGAGCGCATATTCATGTCTTGGAGTAGAAAATCCAGGGGCCAGTCAACCAGCAAACAACATATCGTCCCTAACCATGGACGTTTCTACCAAAGCATGTCCTGCACGTGAACTTTGTCATGGAGGTTCGCAGGAGAAAAGAGGCTGAAGTTGCTTCGTTTTATAACATTGTGGGCACTGCTGCGTGTTTAGATGGGCGACCCAGCAGCAGTGATACAAACTTCAAAACAAGGAAGAACAAAAACGACCCTGTAATTAACCAAGAGATTGGGACCATGGCCTTCCCTCTTTCCTAAATAGTTCATTTGCAAATGTGTGTGGCTTTATAAGTGACAATTCTCTTCCTTTTTGATTTCCTGGGGGAGGGGAGTTTCGGTTCCCATTATCAGTGTGATGCTGGTCTGGTTTCAATGAAGTGTTGGATCGGGTTGACTCAGGGGCAAAAAGCCGGGGGCTCGGGGTTATCGGGGCGCTACAAATCAGGAGGTGGCCAACTGCAGCAACCTGTTCCCGCAAGCTAAGAATGGTTTTGACCTTTTGAAAATAGCCGAAGGGATCATCCAAAGGACAATGATGCCTTGTGACACATGAAAACTGTATGATATTCGCATGTCCTTGTCTATGAATAGGATTTCATTGGAACCACAGCCACAGCCACAGAGGTGAGCAGATGCGACTGTGACCACACGGCTCGTACGGCCGAAACCATCGACACTCTGGCCCGTACAGAAAATGTGTGCCGACTCCTGCTATAAATGTTGAACTGAAAAAGGAAGTCAGCTTTGGTGATCCTTCGATGCAGACTTCTACCAAGTGGCCCGAGAGGAGAAGTGAGAAGCAGAGAGGGTTATCAGCGCCCCCCTCCCCTCCCCACCACGGCGCCTTCCTCACTCCGGGCAGTATGAAGTGTGCACGCGCTGCTGAAATCGGGCCACGCCAATGTCGGCATTCAGCTGAGCTGAGTCCGCTTTTTCTCATCCCAGCTGCACCTACCTCCAAAATTGCAAAATTGCCCCTGAAACCGCGCCAGGCCTTTCCCGCCGCACTCGCTCCCTTCATTACCTCAGGTGGTCTGAGTGCATGTGACTGATGTAAATCAGGTCTGCCTGGCACAGCCTCTCCAGCCAATCAGACGGAGGCTCGTGCAGCAGCCACCAGCCTCGGGCGAACGCAGGACCCGTTAACCAGGGGTCAAACACCATCCTCTTGTCTCCCAGCTTGAGGTCCATGCAGGCGTGGGTGAGGTACGTGATCTGTTGGAAGACAGGGAGATTCAGGTGACGGGATCCTTCCCGGCCGGCAACAGGGAGCCGAAAGGTCTGTGCCGCTTGGCCAACACCCCTTGGCCGGAGAACCCTGTCCTGAGCGTGATCAGGACAGAGGACCCTAGGGGGACCCAGCAAGAGACTTCAGATGGAATACAGCTCGCAGTGACTGGTCGCTGCTTCGTCAGGATAGAAACTCTCCCGGTTGGTTTCAGGTGGCAAAGCAACTGACCTACCTAGTTTTGCTCTATTTCAATTAGCTCCTAAATGCTCACTTTAATCAGCGCCGCAGACTGCCCTCTGTGCCGAGTCCTTCAGGGCACAATTTACGAGGAAAGGCAGTTAGAGCTGACGCGACAGACACTTGGGGATTTACATGCCAGTGTGGCTGTGGAGAGGTACAGGAATGAATGATTCCGGTGAGGTTGGGTGGGTGGGTGGCGTGCCATGTGGCTTGCAAGAATTCCTCTTCCAAACCACCTGCTACCACACTCAAGATGTCGAGGTCTTCTGAGAATAGCTATGAACAATGACAGAGAAACAGGCATTGACTGGAGGATTCCAGCTCAATTCCTCAGTCCTTCCCCACGGTCCGGCACATCCGCGGCAAACAGGAAGTACGCCCAGAAGCAGAGAGAAGGTGTAGAAAGCCAGCGCGGAGCGGGAGGGGAGGCAGGCGATCACATTCCATTTTACTGGGCCTACTTCTTGACAGGTTTCCCTTTCCCTCAAATAAGTACACGCTTCCCAAATATTCCAGAAAAACAAATTTTTGATTACCTCTCCCAAACTGTCAAAGTGTTTCCTCTGGAGGAAACTCTCTTTTAAAGCTAGGAGAGTACACAGGAAGGTTCGTAAAAGGGAAAAATACAGAAATATGCAACTGGCCATCTTATCCGACAGCAATCTGGCGTCGGAGGTAACTTCCGAACTTTCTCCAATAGTTTGGCATGACTCTCCTTTGGAACTTCGTTTGCTCATGGATTTTTGTTGTTGTTTCGTTGGGTTTTTCTCTGAATATATTTCCTTGCGATTCCTATCAAGTTGTGGAGGTTCCTAAAAACATTTGCTCAAGAGTTCAGAAGAACTTTATTTCATGTCCTAAATAGCTCCCTCAGAATATTTGAGGTAATATAGGATGTAAATATATATATATATATATATATATATATATATATATACATATTTATATATTTTAGTTTTATTATACATATGTTATATATATACATATATATGTGTATATATATATATATATATATAATACACACACACACATAAATGGACATCTTAGTTTTATTTTTGTTCTTAAGAACATAACAATTTTAATGTTCCCTTACCTGCACTTCTCCAAAAGCCAAATGTTCAGGAGATCTGGGTTCTGAATCCCAGGGATTGGGAGGATTCAGTTCTAGAAGTAAAAGTCCATTTTCTTCATCCATTTCAACAACTGGAACCAAAAGGGAAGAGACACATATTCACAACAAACACGAATGTACAAAACAATCGCTCAAATAGAAATGCGTGGCCCGGGTACACAGAGTACCAAAAATCAAAGGGAAATCAAAACAAGACACAACAGTCATTTGTGTCAAACAATATCTGCCCAGACAAGGGCTGGAGACAGACAACGCCAATTCATTGCCTCGTTCATATTGCACTTAAGGGACTCATGGGACCTCAGCTGAGTCACAGAGATGCACACAAACAACTTCATTACAATTAAATGAATGAATGATACAGATGAGTTCAAGGTGCCATGGGAATGTGCAAGAGGGAGGACCTAATCTGGTTGTTAAGACTCAAAGCAGATTTCTAATAGGAAATCGTGCTCCAGCTAGACTTGAAAGATTGGGTACTTGGTGTAGACAAAAGAAATCGGATTATGTGAAGGAAAAGGGGTGACTGAACAGCACACACAAAGGCGTGGAGGAGGGGTGAGCTCGATATTCACAAAGGGACTGGTGGTTTATGCCCCAGGAACACAGTGTCTGAGGCAGGCAGGATGGACAGGAAGGCCAGGGTACATCACAGAGGACCCTAGACAGCATGCTAAGGAGGAATTTGGATTTTATTACGTGGCAGCAATGAGAGGTCAATGACGAATTTTAAGCCATTGTGGCACACCCTACCGGTGACCTACACCCTTCTTTCTTACTGTTAGCATCCTAATTTTTTTTTTTAGGAGTGTTGATATGCCCATCTGAAGATCATGATTTCCCAGGGCCCCTTGCAATTATGAGTGGCCATCGACATAGTGCTACATACAGTGTCTATAGCTCTGGCCAGGGCGATGTGAGTAGAAGTCCCCAAGTGGGCTTCCGGAAACACTTTGATTTTCCTGACAGAGAGGGACAAAGTCAAAGGAAGCACGCTAGTTGCCCTTCGTCTTTCCCTTCTCTTGTTTGGAAACTGGTTGCTTCCCCTGAGGGAACAGGAGCCATCTTGGGATGCTGAGGGAAAGAGCCAGATCCTAAGGATGGCAGAGTAGGAAGACAGAAGGAACTTGGCTCCTTGATAAACTTCTGAAACGGCCATGATACCCAGGACTGTCTGCTTTCCAGCTTCTTGCGGAATAAGAAAAACAACCCCCGGTGTGACCAGGCCACTCTGACTTGGGTTTTCTGTTCCAACAGCTGAAAGCAATACCTAACCGCTATGGCAAGGGAGTATTAAAATCAGAACTCAATTTTAGAAAGGCCACACTGTGAGACACATGGGGAGAATCCACTGGAGGAAGGGAGGACTGTATTTGAGGGCCCTCACCGTGGTCTCGGAGGCCAGTGGCAAACTGCTGACGGGCACGGTCTCCGAAGACAGATGGCCTCGTTTGGTTGGAACCCTCACTCTCCCCACTTGTTAGCTTCATAGCTGGGTGACCTCGAGCAAGTTCACTTGACTACTCCATTCTTCAGTGTTTTCCTTGTCAACCCTAGCTGCCTCCAAGGACGGAGGCATCCCAACAAATGGTAGCAAGTCTATTAATTGCTAAATGAAAGCAAATGAGGTCCTAGACCAATGCGGTCCCTTTGGAAATGGTGACACTGCTCTCTCCTCAAAGTCAAGCATTTTCCCCACTTTCTTCAAAGTATATAGAAAAAAGAAATCTTTTCCACACCTTCCAAATGAATATTAATTACACTCACTTTAAGACAACTGCTTATGGAAAAAACTGAGGCAAAAATTACCCATAAAATGAAAAAGGATGCATTTTAGGATTTTCCTCAGGGGTGTGAACAAAGACTTAGACACGCTGTCAAACTTCAATTTTCAAGGTCATCCCGAGTGACCATAATAAAGAGGAAGTTGGAAACCTAAAGAATTACCTCCCCAAAGTCTGTTTTTCTCACTCATGTCCCTAGCTTTATCCTATGGCCAGGTACTGGTAGTCTCCCTCCCTGCCCCTGACAGACTGATGTCTTGTGTAGATGGTCTCCCTGGAAGGCTCTCCCAGAATCAGCACTACCCACACCTGGCTTTGTTGGGGCTCACGCGTCACCTTATCAGAGAAGCCTTTCTGACCACTCTATCTCAAAGAGATACCAACCCCCTACCCCTCATTATTTTTCTTCCTACCCCTTAGCGTCACTGCACATACTCTTATCTTGTTTGCTTCTGGCCTGCCTCCCCTACAAGATTATTGACTCCACGAGAGCTGGAGTTTGTTCTCTGCGATATCAGTAGCGAGCCAGGAACAATGCCTGACTCACGACAGGCATTCCTTAAATACCTGTTGAGTAAACTGTTTAGTTAATGGTCTCAACTGCATGTCTCCCAAGACTCTCTTGAGGCTACCCAACTTTCTCTCAACCTAGACACTGCTCCTGCCCAGATGTGGCACCTCAAATTGGGAACCTTAAATATAGAATTATCTCAAGATAAGCCAAAGATAAAATTTACTATTTCTTCATTTTTATTTTAAGGGAGAGAGGGAGAGAGAACGAGTGGGGTGGGGGGCAGAGGGAGACGGAGATAGAGAATCCCAAGCAGGCTCTGCACCATCAGTGCGGAGCCCGGTGCGGGGCTTGAACTCACAACTGTGAGATCATGACCTGAGCCAACCTTAAGAGTCAGACCCTCAACCGACTGAGCCACCCAGGCACCTGTGCTGCTGCTTCTTTTTTTTTTTTTTAAATTTTTTTTTTCAACGTTTATTTATTTTTGGGACAGAGAGAGACAGAGCATGAACGGGGGAGGGGCAGAGAGAGAGGGAGACACAGAATCGGAAACAGGCTCCAGGCTCTGAGCCATCAGCCCAGAGCCTGACGCGGGGCTCGAACTCCCGGACCGCGAGATCGTGACCTGGCTGAAGTCGGACGCCTAACCGACTGCGCCACCCAGGCGCCCCGCTTCTTCATTTTTAACAGAGCACTTTAGAAACCAGAAACATGAATGCACCAGACGGCTTCCGTTCATCCTTACAGACTCCTCTTCTCTACCTTTCTTCTCCCTCATCCACCTGCTCTCCACGTCAGGAGGCTGACTTATTTGGATCACATGGAAGGGCTCCCAGAGTCTCCCCTTCCAGATGAGTTTGACCACTGCAAAGCCCCAGGATGAGACAGTGACAGGACTCAGGGAGGTTGGGGTTTTTATTCCTCTGGCTCCTTCCCAGTAAGGTGATTTTGTTGCAGACATTGTTGGTGGTCTGCACAAAATCTGTTCCCTCCTTCTTCCTATTAGCATCCTCATTTTCCTGAGGAGTGATGCTATGCCTATGTAAAAATCATGATTGCCCATGCCCCCTTTGCAATTATGAGTGGCCACAGACATAGCTCTGGGCATTGACAGAGGTCGCTGCTCCTCTCTTGCAAGCCAATCCTTTATGACTCTCTCCTCTTCCAGATTCTGGAAACTGCTCCCTTCCTCATCCCTTTGGGCCCAAAGATGGATAACTTGGTTGCTATCAGTGCTAGGTTACTCCACTTTCTCTGTGTTTCTCCCACATCCACAACTTACAAAGAAAGTCCTTTGTGAATACACTCTCATCAAATTATCCTAATTTGGGGATGGCACTGGTTTTCCTTTTGTGAGTCTAACTAATACAATAATTAAAAACGGCTACATTGAGGGGTGCCTGGGTGGCTCAGTCAGTTAAGCATCTGACTTATGATTATGGCTCGGGTTATGATCTCACAGCATCATGGGATCTTGTGGGATCAAGCTCCACATCGGTCTCTGCACCAACAGCATGGAACCTGCTTGGGATTCTCTCTTTCCCTCTCTCTCTGCCCCTCCCCTGCTTCCACACTCTTTATCTCTGTCCAAATAAATAAATAAACATAAAAAAATCAGCTATGCTGAAACCCCAAATTCAGAGGAGTGATTGCCTCTGGGGGATGGGGGTACATGTGATATGACCAAGGAAAGGTATATACAGGTCTTCTGTTGGTAATGTTCTGGGTCTTATGCTGGATGTTGGGCACATGGGTGTCCACTCTATTATTTTCATACCTTTAAAATACTGCTTAAGAATTTAATGAAAGACTATTAATATCTTAATAATAATCAATTTATTTAATAGTGAAAGACAATTGGCTTTCTTAATAAAATCAGGAATGCACAAAGGATGCCTGAGAGCACCATTATGATTATACTATGTTCATGAAAATGTGCGTGGTATAATAAAGGTACATCTTATTATTATTTCCAGGTTGTGTGATTGCTGGAAGATGGTGTCATGAAATAAAGAGAATGGTGGAATCCTGACTCTGCTGCTTACTGTCAGCATGGTGGGCTTCCTTCCTGATCTGTACAATACAAATGCAATACACCCGTCATACAGTTGTGGGGATTAAATGAGATCATAGGTCCCAATGTGTCTAGCATTATGCCTGGCACAGAGAAGACATCTTATGAATAACAGGATTATCATGATAATTACTGTACCTTCAAGGAATGAAGAGTTAAAATGAGAGCTCAGCACTGGACAAACAAAACGTATTAGCAAATATCAGGTAGAAAATACCACAGTATTATGAGAGTCTCTCAGAAAACTGCATTGATACCCACTCTGAAGGATTCTCCTTCAGAATGTTTCCCCCCCCCCCCCAAGAGAAACAGAAGAAACTAAAAGTCTACAACTCTTAACTATGATCCCAAAGCAAGTGCTGTAAGGGTCTCTCTGCCCCTTGCACAAAGGCAGATTGCATATGGGCTCCGAAAGAAGCCCTCCTGGGGCTCGCCCCTCCAGTCCTCCACTACCCTGCCAGCCGCCGGGCAGCGGACATCAGCCCTCACGTTAGTTCCCAGATCATCGTTCTGTTTTCCAGTGGACCCAACTTCCCGCTGCTGGGAAATCCCGCTTCCCTGCTCCTGCGGTCCCCGGCTGCGGACATGTGCAGATTACCCCAGATCTACGTGTACAGAGAAAACATTAGGCCCCGTGTACCGAGGGAATCCAACAGATGTTCACCCTGAAAATCCTGACAACAACCCGGGAAAGCAGCTACCACTGATATCATCTCCATTTGAGGGAACTAAAGCACAAGGAGACGGAAAATACGCCCAAAGTCACTTAACTGTGTGTTTGCGCGTCAGGATCTGAACCCAGGCTGTCAGGCCCCACTGCCTCCACCCTTAACCATCTTGCTATCCTGTCTCTCCTCAGGTCTCGTCCAAAAGAGTTAGAGGTTTGGAATAAGACCCTACGCAGCTCTAGATTTGTGGTTACGGACTCACGAGGGGCAACGGGCTATTGCTCTTTCACTTAGGCAAACACTTTATCAGGCGCAAACTTTTGTTTATCAGTTTTCCGCCAAATTAACCTCACAGTATTTGTACAGCACTTGTAACCAGTTCCTGATAACAGCGATCTGCAGGCCTCCTGGGCCAGGTCAACACAGGAGTGGGGAGTTTACTGGCAAAGAAGTTAGGGGTGCAGACGTCCCTTCGAGGGGCACGGGAGGAAACATTTCCAGTCAAAGCAATCAGCAACTCTGCCCAGAACAACATCCTGTCCGGTTGGCGGTGAATGGAAAGAAGTACGTACCCTAGTCAGTGACCCCTCTGCTCGTGGGGGAACCTGGCCATATAGGTCAGACTCTTTCAAAGGTGATTTGGAGTTGGTCTCGTTAAGACACATGAGCAAGAGTGGCCCCGATATTCTATGTTATGTGCTAGGGTCACAGTAATCTGAGCCTAAAAAGGATATAGAGGTAGCATACTCAAAGCCCCCAGTCTGGAGGCACGTGTGGGAAGCCCCCCAGCTCAGCTCCCTCCACAGGTAACCAGTGGTAAGTCAGCCCCCACCCATACTGCCGGCACGCGCTTAGGTACATGGTCCTTTTTCATAATTGGGTCCTACTACATGTAATGTTGATGACCTTTTACTCAGCTTTATAAAAAAATATTTAAAAATTTTTGAATTTTAAAAAATTAAATCTTTTTATTTTAAAAAATTAAAAAAAGTTTTAATTTCAAAAAATTTGAAAGAATTTTCATTTCAAAAAATTAAATTTTTTTTGTAATTGAGAGAGAGAGAGAGACAGAGACAGAATCCCAAGCAAGCTCCACGCTCAGCGTCGAGCCTGACGCAGGGCTCGATCCCACATGATCCCTGGGATCACGACCTGAGCTGAAACTGAATCAGACACTCAGTTGACTGAGCCACGCACGCACCCCTATTTTGCTTTACGATCAGTACTATTCTTTCCGTTTTTTCACTCGTATCACTCTTAGATATACTAGAATTGTTGCTAACGTTTAAGTTGTTTCCAATTTTTTTTTGTAAGTACTGTAAATGAACATTCTTACAGCCATAGCTTTCAACACATCAGTGATTAAGATACACATTACACATCAGTGTATCTGAGGATACAGCCTTGGGTGTGAAATCGCTGGGTCAAAGGTGTTCACATTCTTAAGTGTGAGAGGAAGCTGTCTGGAGAGTTTTGAGCAGGGGAGCGAAGTGAATCGACCTGGATATTCACGACATCAGGCCGGGTGCTGTAAGCAGAATGGACAGACAGCAGAAGGCAAGCAAGGAAGCAGAGCGGCCGCCCACACGGCAGAGGGCTCAGACTTGCGCTCAGAGGGACGCGGTATACAGAGGTTCTGAGATGCTCTGGCATAGAAGCAACCGATTAACGGTCTGGATGTGGGAGTTTACGGAAACAGGAAAGTCAAGAGCGACTTCCGGGCTTTGTTCAACTGGGCGGGTATTTATGGAGATGGGGAAGGCTGTGCGGGAGGCGGGCATGGAGAGTTCTGTCCTGGCTGTGCTGGCTTGGGATCCCGACCTCCAGTCCGTGTGGAAATACGGGTGGGCAGGTGGCCAGCTCAGGGAGGAGCTCAGATCTGGAGGGAACGATTTTGGACTCATCCGAGTAAAGACGGCATCTAGAGTCACGGGATTAGATGGGATCCCTTAGGGGAAGCTTATAGGCAGGGAGCTGTAGGGCCAGTCCCAGGGCGCTCCAACATTCAAAAGTCTGGCCGGGGACGAGTCAGCAGAGGAGCCTGAGAAAAGTAGTTAGCGTGGTCGGAATAAAAATCAGGAGAGTGTTTCGTTTTTTGTTTTTGTTTAAGCCTTGAAGACATTTTATAGTGGTGACTGGTGTCTGGGTTCAGGAATAGGCTCTTTAACGATTTCAATGCATGCTATCCCCTCTTAAGCAACAGAATTTTATTTCTTATTTGTTTGTTTGTTTGATGTGGTACTTTCTTCTATGTTTGATTTCTCGGTTTTCTTGGCAGATATTCTTGGGTCCTCCAGTATTTCTTCAAAATGCCCCCTTTCTGGGTGGTTTCCTCAGAGGCCCCCTTGGAAGCCTCTTCTGACTCCTCCTCCTCCTCCTCCTCCTCCTCCTTAAGGGATAGTACAGCAAACGAGACTTGGAAGGTTGTAGAACTAAGGATTCTAGGTGGGAGCTGACAACCCGGACCAGGACAGCACTATGGCCTCCAAACATGCCCACATTCTAATGCCCAGGAATGATGGGTAAATTAGGTTTTCTATGGCAAAAGGGAATTAAAGTTGCCAACAAGATTAAGGTTGCTAATCAGCTGACCCTAAACTAGGGAGAATATCCTGAATTATCTGGGTGTGCCCAATATATCCCAAGGATCCTAAAACCTGTAAGCAGGAGGCAGAAGAGTCAGAGGGAGATGTGACTATAGAAATAAGCCACAGAGATGCAAGGCTCTGGCGACGGGCAAAGAGGGCCTCTAGAAGCTAGAAAAGGCAAGGACACGGATCCTTCCCCAGAGCTTCCAGAAAGGGACACAGCTCTGCTGACACTATAGTGTTAGCCACCGAGACGTGTGCTGCCCCTGTGACCCACAGAGCTGTAAGGTAGCACATAGGAAAGAATGCAGAAACCGCTGCTCCCCAGATAGGAGGAAAAAGACCGTGCCACTGGGCTCTATGCCGCTGGCTTTGGGTACCGTGACAACGGAGTGACCAGTGAATTGAGCAACATGGAAGGGGCTGGTGACCTAGATAGGAGCCGTGTCCATGCTGTGGTGGGGCCGCAGCTCCACCACAGTGGGAAGGGGAGGGGCAGACAGCAAGTGTGGACACCCGCTTCAAGGGGGTTCCTTGTTTTAGGGTTCAGAGGAATGGGGGCATAATTTAAGCAGGCGATGAAGGTCTAGGAAGGGTCTGTATGAACACCAGACTGCATGTGTGTCTGTGCGTGTGTGTGTGAGCATGCACACATGGGGAGCTAACAGGTGCCAGACCCTGTGTGTGTGTGTGTG